TTATCGTCATTGACATGCTGTCCTCCATGCCAACTTCATAGAAAGTTGCCTGTATACTGTACACATGTGAGGACACTACTCATTCATTATGAGAAACAATGATGGGCTGTGTTCTCCTCTCTACTCCGCCAAAACAGTGGGCTGTTTGGAGACGGGGTGGGGGTCAGGCCTCTGTATGCTAGATACTTTTTCGTGATAATGCTCCGTTTAACGTTCCCGATCTCAATGGATGTCTTCCCCCTTCTCCAATCCAGCGGGTCACACTGAGTCACAAGGCCGGCCGGCGATGACAATGGCATGTTTGTGCACAGGGCTGAGCTATGGGTAGGCTGTCTGATGCGAAGGGATAAGATGGCACAAGGTGGACACTAGAGTCTTGTGTTGTCACTGATGTACACACAGATGTGAGCACACGTGTGAGTCTCTGGATATCTGTCTGAACAGATCTTTTGCTGCTGGTGCTTTTAGATGTTTTTCTGCCTTCATACTCACTATATCACTTAGATCAAAACCATTCAGGTTAGTGCTATAAGCAGTCTAATCTTCATTCAAACACTCCACCGTAATATTCTTTTGGGTCATGACAGATAAGATAAACAGAAAGAAATAGTGGGAAACGGACACTTTCAGGCTTTGTACAACCCACAGACATGATCTGCAGTTGGGGATTTGATAACTGGAACAGAAAAAGGAGAAATAACTACTACAGCACACGCAACAGCCATTGAGCCACATTATCAGCACTGTAAAATAAATGCTGTAAAGGACAATGATGAAGTAGATGTTAAAAGGAATAAGAGTAAAACATCTTACATATTGCAGTAGGGCGGTTACCCCTGCAGAGACTTTGCAAGATTTACACCAAATGATGAAATCACCATCCGAAAAGGCCACACCTATATTTTAATCAAATGATGTATAATCTTGCTCTATTGCCAAGCCCCCAACTGATGCCAGCCAAGAACTGAACAGTTATATGTTTTACGGGATGAATGTGTGAGTAGGGGAGAGATATGACAAAATGGCACCTGTACAAACAGGGAAAGGCAATTATACTGCATGTTAAACGCAGGAAATCAGAATTGATTTATCTACAGCAGTGGACTGCAGAGGTCACTGAGGTCACCACCAGCTTTAATCCACTTTCGGGTATTTTCTCGGAAAAGCAGACGTGCACACCCTAATCAAAACAACCTAATTGCTGTGCTATAAACGTTACGTTGTATCTAAGAAAGCCTGTAGTATTCACAGATTTGCAGGCATATACGTGCGTCCATGCATGCACACACACACACTCCTTTCGTTTCTTTCGGTATAGACCAACATCCCTCATCAGTAGGCCATACACTCCCTCATCATCATCCCCCCCCCCTCGTGTCACTT